CGCTCTGCATCAGCCCTACAAAGCAAATGTATCCTGTTTCATTGGTCTCAGAGTCGCTCCACCGTAGCAAAGAAACACTGAAATCCTTCACATTTACCCCCGCGCTGAGACGAAAGGGTAAGATCCTCGGTTGGTAGCAAGTGATACAAGAGCTGAGGACTCCCGCGGCACTCTCCGTGCACGTGAGTTTGTGAGACCGGAGGACGGGCTTGTGGGCAGAGACCTTCCCTGAACAAGAATTGCATTCCCACATTTGTGCTCATCCCTGCTTTCCCAGCGGCCGGCATCACGGACAGGGAGTTTCAAGAGCAGCCTCCGGCCTTTTCCATACTCTGCGTATTCCGGGGCTTTTTCTTTAATGAATAGCGATCTCTTTGGAAGGATATAAAACGTGGATTTCTTTTCTCCCAAAACACAAAGAGATACTTATTAGAGTATCAAACAGATCTTGAAGCCTAAGGTAACCCATCTGCAACACCTCTGCCTTTCAGAAGTCAGCAGAATACATGGATCTATCGCTGTGGCGCTCTGCAAATCCGCTTTCAAAATATACTGCATACAAAATAACTCGCAGAGACTTAAATACATTAATAACTTAAGAACCTAAATAAGCTGATATTTGATGTGACCTACATTAATGGGGAGGCATTACATGGCAGATAAGTAGAAAGTTCTCATCTATTGTATAATATATGATTTATTCATACCATAAACATACTGAGAAAAGGATATGCTCTGGCATTCTGTCTACTTATTTTTCATGCAGAAAAAAAAATTAAAATTATGTAAGAAGAGCATGCTGGTGAGAAGATATTCATATCACAACAGCAACAGACTTAGTGGCAGGGCTGCCAGATACTTCTTTATGGTTGGAAAGATACAGAGAAAAGCGCATAGGTTGCACCACAGTGCACCCATAACTCTAACTACCAGCCTAAGAGTGGAAGCAGTTCACAGAAGAGGCTAATGGCTTTACCCTGACTGATATCATTGCATTAATAAAAATCATCAATAAAAGCATCAAAGTAAATGAGACAGTGGCTGAGTGTGCACTGCAGCTGCAAGATAAGGCACTAGAAAGATATCTAAATTTTTGGCTAATTCTAGATGTCAAGATAATTGGATTTTCCAAATTAAACCTTTCTGTAGTTAAAGAGGATTAAGGTTAGGGACTGTAGCAGGGAAAGCTACTGTCACTGTTATGAAGAATTTTTTGCTACAGTGCCATTTTTCTTCTTCTATGTCTGCTCTAAGCAAGCAAAATGGCAAGAGCTTCATAAAAATATTGAAGCCGTTCTATCATTTGCCATCAGAAGTTGGCATGGGAAAGCTTTGTTTCATGTGCATCTACCTATTCATTTTATGAGCTCTTAACAGAATTTTAGTGGGTGTGGAAGGGACAATATAAGATTGTTTAGGTTAATGTTTAAGCTTTATTAAAAGGTCTGTGAAATGTAACATGACTAGGTATGGTAGAATGTAAGGATATTGCAGAGCCAAGGTACTCAGAGAAGAGGAGTATGTGGTGTTGGGTCAAATATATGTTTAAACCTTTCATCAAAACAAAGTTTGTTGTTTAGGAATGTCTTTTGGCTTTTTAATTGTTATGATAGCAATGTACATCCCTCAAACCTTGTAAACGCTTGTGTTTCATGAAGGAATTAATTGGTATTTTAATAGAAGTGCTGACAATATAAATACTCCTTGAGACATTTTGTCTCCAGATGGTTTCTCTGCAGACTTTCTCTGATTCCCCACATTTCCAAAACAGGGATATAAACCTCCTGACAATAGCAGAGCATGAGTCAGTCCCATAACTACAAAAAGAAATCTTCCTTATCGTCAGATTACTCTGCAGCCTCTTCTTGAGCAAGTTCATGCATCTTTGCTGAAGCAATAGATTCTCTCCACTGCTGAGGTAAACCACCAAATTCAGTGGACTCATGTCAATCATAGTCCTTGCATTATTGTACATTGCTAGAGGAGCTCTTTCTTATAGTTTAAGGTCATCTCAAGGACTTCACTTTTTCTGACTCTGCTGGAATTGAAGGCTGGAGTGTAGCACCATGTGATGAGATATCACTGCAGAGCTCCCTTGCGAGATATGCAAAAAAAAAAAAAATCCTCTTTCTTTATCATCTTTATCAGTTTAGCAGCTACCCATACTCATGAAAGAGCCTGACACTTCTTCCACTCCAAAGCCAGAACAGCAACATCCTCCCTGATGTACCTGAGAGAACATTGCAGAAAGGACTTTTCAGATGCAAAGACACAAAAACACATGCAAATGGGAAAAAACAGTTGTCCTATCCTCTCTGGAAGGACTCTCTTGAAAGTCCATCGGAGCCCTTGCAGTCCTCTCCACAGTGTGACTCTATCTTGAGTAGCTGCATGGTGTACAGCACGTCAGATGATGTTCTGTAGGCATCCCTGTTTCCTGGACACGTTGCCAGATATTCATCCACGAGTATGGACTTCACTGCATAAAGGCTTAAGCAGAAAAATCCTTAGGGATTTCATCATATAAAGTTTTCTCCTCCAAAGTTTTTATGGGCTGAAGTTTTATATCCTTAAAGACTTTACCCCATAAAAATCCAAGAGGATAATAAAACTAATAGCTTCTATGTCCAGGGTCAGTATCTTGGGGAAAAAAAAAGGCTCTTGAGTAATAATAATACCTTCAGTAGCAGTATTGACCAGAAACTACGGATCTATTCTTTTCCCCGTTGGCTGACTTTTTACCGTTATTGCCCTCTGAGCTAGTCGCTATTTGCATGCTGTGCAGAGTAGCCACGGGTACATGGCGATGCAGAGATATTATAGGCGTGACTTTGAACTGTTCTGGAGGATGATAAAGCCAAAAGTGAACTTTGCAGGCAGAATACAGAACTTGTCTGGTCCGGCCGCTCACAGTTTCATCGCGCTGCCTCATTCCATGTATTTTAAATCTGAAGTGTATGGATACACCCAAAACCACATTCACATGCTCATATTGATCCAGATTAGGAAATGGCTTCCAAGCTATAGAAAATAAGCAGAATACCCAACATCTCACACAAAATAAGGCTGACCTAATTCTGTGCCTATATTTACACATGAAATTCAGTAAAACTTGAACAAGTAGGCCTCTGCTTTTTTAAAAATGTACCTTGGAAAGCTAGATTGGTACCATTGTTTTGCTACTGATCCTCTAAGGGCCCTGAACAACAAGATAATTAAAGTGCATAGAAATATGAAATCCTAAAATCATTTTCCTATAAATCAGTGCAGACCGGTAAGTATTCCCACAAGGAGGAACAGGCGCGGATCCATTCATGGGCCCCCGAGTTCTTGGCAGGAGGACACGCTTGCTATTTCCTTGTCTGAAACCTCCAGATCTGTGGCATTAACCATGGATAAGACGGCTGTGCCCATGGAAGTCTGGCCCTCCTCCTCACCAGAGGGGAACGTTATTACTGTTCTGGGTGGTCATGATACTATTACACACATTTGAAGCTTGTTAATTTTCCAGGACTAAATACTGCCCATTCCAGACGGCTTCCATGCCAGGAAATGCAGGATAATGGGCTGACTAAAGAGAGTAGTCTAAAATATAAAGAAATCCCCAGTGATACCCTCGACATCCAGACAGAGTGTTCAGTGGAAGAGCACTCAGGGTGCACATATGGCAGCCTATCCCAATATCTGCTCAAAACAATTACAGCATTTCTATGGTATTTCTGCACACCCTATACCAATAAACAGGATGGAAATAAACTGGCATAAGACCATATCAGAGGACCTGCTGTCTAAAGCCCTTAAAGAGAAGGACATAGATACTTAACTAATTGGCACTCTCAGCCTTCCATTCTGGGTTGGTGGGAGCAGTCACCAGCTAAACAAATGACTCACGGAGACACACTGCGTCTTGGATAATTTTACATAGGTGGAGGATAGACTGGAGAACAAAAGTGAGGAGTCGTCAATAAAATACCAAGCTACTCCCATAATGATACGTTCTGTGAATCACTTCAGTGTATAAGGTGATCTGGGAGATTCATACACCCTGTTAAAAAATATATATCTTTTCCTCTCATGCTTTTCTGATCATCTCTATTAACTTTGTGTTAGTATTGTCACTATTAACCATGTTTACGCTTTTGCCAAGATACGTTAATGAAGCCTTGCAGTTCCCCCAGTTTCCAGAAAGGACTGCCCGCATCAGGAGGACAAAATCTTTGTTAGCAACAGATGCAGCCCAAGCAGCGCTGAATGTGGTCTTCCCCAAACCCCAACCCAGGAGGAGCTGCAGCTCAACCTCCCTCGCGCTGATCGATACGAGTACGGCACAAGGCTGTTGCCAGGCTGGTAGCTCCTCCTGGCAGTTCCAGCACCAGTTCATTGGGGTCCACTGAGTGTGAAATCCACCTCTCCACACAAGACCAGCACAATGCATCATTTGCGTCATTTTTAAGGGATGACAAGGTTCATAAGCTTCATGTTGCCCTCTGCACAGGAGTGAATTTTACTCTTAATGCAAATGGTGTTTAAATGCAATATTTTAAGACTAATATTCCGTATAGACACAGTGCCTGATTCATGCCAACCCAAGGGGTAATATGAATGCTTAGTATTGTTTAACCAGCTCCCAAGGACTGAATAAAACCCTCAGATGAAAGATGTGACCTTCAGAGAGCACGGAATCACTTTTTCTTTTCATCTAAAAGATAATTTATCTAATACTTTTCTCCTCATTGAAGACATAGGCTCGCTGCACTGAAAACAGTTTACAAATGTTCTTTCTCCATCAAATTGATTTTCTGAGTATAGATAGGCAGTGTTTTCTGGAACTAATTTAAATTCCCTTCTAATTAATATTCAAGACCAAAATATGTTATCTTTGCATGACTGTGCAATTATTAAAGGGAAAATATCATCTGCGAAAGTAATTATTTTTCTTTTTTTTTTTTTTAACTGGCCGTTAACTGACATGAAATGTATCATTTCACTGCCTTTTTTAGGCTATGATTGAAGAAGCCATCACTAGAGAAGAATCTTTTTCAGTTATGTACACACCATTTGTGACAGAAGTCAAGGCTGACAAAATAAACAAGATAAAGGACATGTTTGCTGAAAAGCACCCTGATTACGTGGAGCACATATATACAGGTAACAGCAGATTTCACTCACTCTTAATCACTGTATACTATCTGTGTGTGTGGTTGACAAAAAGAGTTTTAGAGAGTCTGGAGCACAAGCCTTTACATTTCTACACTTCTAGGGGGGGGAATTAACTTCTGAGATTTGCTCTGCAATTGTACATGATTTAGGTAATCAAATCAGTACTTAGGCGAAGCACAGACTTTACACTGCAAATCCCCATAAAGATGATTTCTATCCACGAAGCCTCATGTTTCAGTTGTTGAATTTCATTACTGCAACTAATCTTTTGTTCAAAAGTAGATTTGCAGTGTATTGTGGTGACAGAGAGACCCAGGCTCATTCCCATCTCCGTGGATTTCCATCAGTCACCGATGGTCATCCCTGCAGCAGGGCCTTCGCTTTCCAAAAATATCCTCCCTTCTACGAGCACTAATGGACTGACCGCCACCTTTGAGGGCATCTCAGCTGCAGGGATGGGAATAGATAGCCAGGTTTCCTTTAGCCTGTTGAAGACAAGTAGGATCCAGAGTGAACAAGGGCTTTGCAGAGCCCGTTGTCATCTCCTGGCAGAGCGAACTCAAGTAGCATCTCCTGGAGTAAACAGACACTTAAATTCTGGTGGCCACAGCCTTATTTCAAGAGGAATGGGCATGACATTTTGGCAACAGAGAGGCAGGGGGATAAGAGGCATTTCTTACTATCATTAACCTGGTGACTTGGAACATAGTTGACCCCGATAACACTTGGCTTTGAGTTGGTGATTGAGAAACGTGAAGGGAAAAGTACATTTCTCAGGTCAAATTCTAGAAAGCCTCTATCTTCGTCACACGAAGTAGAGGTGTAGCTCACCCCTCACTGCTGCTTCCAGCAGGGTGGTCTGAAAGGCTGAGACGCTGCCCGCTCCCTGCAAGAGTTACACCAGGTCAGAGATGATGGCTTGGTCCTTGTAGCACCGCTGAGTCCCAGCACTCAGCAGATAAATGAGGCTTCCAAAAGGATACCCATTGTCTCTTTGGGGAGGAAAAGAAAATCTATCTGAAAAACACAAATAGGAATTAGGAAACTAAGTGTTTACCACAAAACTGTGCAAATATTTAAATGCAAGTAAACTTGTTCCGTTCATTTTTGTTTTGCTTTAGGAAACCAGTATAAAACTAGATCATGTTTTGGAAGTTGCAGGCCACCCACATATTGGGTTTCTGGCAGTAGATTTGGGGTTGTTCAAAGAGGGAAAATGAGGACTTATCTATCAGGGAGGCTGTAAAATCCCTGTCTACCGTTTACTTGCTGATGTGACTTTGTGAAGAATTTCCAGGGACAAAAGTATTGCCATTAAAAGGAGCATAAAATAAAACTCCCTGAATCTGATTTTAAAAAAGATAATTTCATATTTCACATAATCCCCTCAATTTACAGCAAGGGGGAGACTTCCAGGAGCACATAAGCAGCAAAACTGTGCAAGTGTTGCACTGAAACTCAGTTTGTGTTCATAAATCACTGAATGACTCTGCAAGTGTCACCGGTCAGTTGCTCACTCCTCCCACTAAGGAAGAAGAAAGAAAGAAAAAAAAGGGTGAAAGATCCCAGTCCTATAGTACTTTAGTCAATTATGAAACAGATTGAATAGAGCCAGTTCTGCTCTCAAATACGTTTGTTTACAAAAATCTACTGGTTAAAAGACTTGCTTCAATTTTACACAAATTTCTCTGAGCGCACGTTCTGGGATCACTGAAGTTTCTAGCAATTAAATGGGATAGATAACCAAGAAAAAACAATATGGGTATCAGGGTTTTGAGAGCGCAGTGATGTGAGAGGTCTCACACAGGCGGACGTCCTCACCAGTCCCAACCTCCCTCCTGTCTGTCCTGGAAACCCTCTCGGACAGAGCGAACGTGGCTCCTTTCCCTAGACTCGATGCTGAGATAACTCACAACAGTGTTAGGTGAAGTCAACCTAGTAGGGGGTTTCTCAACTTATCTATTCAGATTTGACCTAAAATCACGCTGCCCACCAAAAAAAACATCACAAGCAACAAGGTTAGCTCATTGTCGGTGTGGTGCCACTGAGCATTCGACCTGCAGGTCTGTATCTCACATAGGTGAAATTAAAAAGACGAGCTAAGCTCCATTTTAACAGTGGGTGTGAAATACCAGACGTCTCACAAACGTGTTATTTTAAATAACCCTCCTATTCTGTAACAATCACCCATCCAATTTTAGTCCAAGTTTTGCTAGAGTGTGAGGACTGAGTTGATTTCAAAGTTTTCCTTATCTCCAAGGAAAAGGAGCAGATACACATTTAAATCCAAGTATACAATGCAGTTTGTTGCAAAATTGAGAATCCATCAGAAGAGAACATGCTGCAAGGGAAATATCAGGTCCACTCGCTTTGATTTATATAGGGGTAAGTCCGGAGAGCTCCGAGTGGGGTTCTCCATTTGTCACTGTGACCGCACAGCCTGGCATCTTAAAAGCAGAGCTCCCTGAAAACAGAGCACTCCTTTGTGAAAAGTGACACTGACATTCAATCTAGGTTTATTTTTTGCAGGGGAAGGGGAGGGAGGAAAGGACTGGTCTGGTTCCCTAAGCAAAGGTGGTTTATACAATTGCTCGGAGCATCTGTCCTCGCCGAGGTCAGGGCAGACCGACTCAGCTGATACACAGGGGTTTTGGCAGCGGCAATCACAAACTCTGGACAAGGCACAGCACAGGTTGTCAGGTGCCAACTGGGTGGATGAGAAAGGACACGCAGGAAACCTGGGATTATGGTGGTGGTGATGGTAAAAGCACAAATCTGTAGGAAATCAAACCTCCTCAATTCAGGGAACAACAGAACAGCTTTTTTTTGCAGTTAAAAGATCAGGATGTTATGTTACTGAAGTGTTGAGTTATTAATGCCTTGGATGATCAGCATTGAAAAGTGCATAAGTGGGAAGAACATGTTTTATCTTCTGCATCAGCAAAATTTAAGGTGTTGATGAAAAAGGTTGCAAAGTCTGGAATTTCAAAACCCAGTTATAGCTGGATGGGTTGGTTTGGTCACCTTTGTTTTGGCAAGATTCTGGATTACATGTCACTCCTTCTTAGACTTCCTATTTTTATCTCCAAAAAAGTAACTTCTCTTGCAACTGAAAAGAAATGTGACAGTGGAAATTATTTTCGTTTCCCTATTCCAGATCCTCATGGACTTCACATCTTGCCACAGATGGCTGAGTGGCCGTCTCTGCTGCCCCAGCGGTACTTACTGACTCTGGGTTTCAGAAACAAACATATTGGAAAAATCTTGGAAAGGTGGTCAAATAGAAAACTGCCAATCTTTTCAGGTACAACAACTTGCTTAAAAGCTGTGATAGCTCAGGGGTGGCCTCCACGATCCTTGCTAATTGAGGGGGGCCAGGGGGTTTCTCGGGACCCACTTCTCTGTGCCGGCAGCCCCGACTGTCCAGACAGCTCTCCCCATCCTCCTCTCTCCTCCTCCAGTTTACCCATCATCTTGCTAGATCCTCTATGAAAAAGGTATATGAATAAACACAAATATGGTTTTGTGATTTCATTTCCTAGACCGGAAAGCACCTTTCAGTCCTCTCACAAAAGAAGAAACAAAAAGATATTGGGATAACACTGGGAAAAAGATCGTGCCAGTAATGGATTTTATAAGAAGCACCAAATTAACTGTGAGTATAAAACTCACTTTCTGGTGTGTAGTTTCTGTGGCAGCAGAAGCCTGTGCGTGTGTGAATGACGTGTGCTTTTTGGTGGGTAATTCATTCTGCACATGCTCCTCCTGTGTCCAGAAATGCTCAGTGAACTGCATTAGGAACTGAGTTCAACTGGGGTGTAGATACTTTTAAAAAGTAGCAGTAATTATTTATCAGTGTACCCAGTTTATTTAAAAATCACTTTGCGTGCAATTTCCTCAAATCTTTACGGCCTATTATATTATATCCCTACTTCACGTAATCACCAAAACTACTCGCTATATTTCATACCTATAGTATACTACACATATCACCAGGATCTCCAACAAGAGTTAATAATTGCTACTTGAAGCATTTTTAGTGATTTAGATTCTGATCCTTATGTAGTGAAGTATGTGAAATAACCTTCAAATCTGTTACAGCCATATTGAAGGTATATTAGTTAATTCTACTCCATACTTTCCGCAATAATGTACACAGCTTTTTAGCACCATGGCTTTTGATTAGCACAAAAGGTCAAAAATCAAATTTGCATGTAGACTAGACTGTTTTAATGCAATTCTTAAATTGTTGTCCTGAAAATAAGAGGAAGAAGCCTCTCCTCCCCAGATTGTAAATGCTAATGTTAGCACTTTTTCCCTATCAATAACAGTTTTTTAGTTTTCTGTATGTTGAAGGAATCAGAGCCATTTCCTTGTCAGGGGTGTCTTAGCAAATCACACGATTTATATTCTTAGGTTTTGATACCAGATAGGAGGTTGACAAAAACTGCTACTTAGCAACCCCCAGCAAGGAAGAAACATTAGCTAGATATTTGGGGAAGCTCTATCTCCTTTCATCTCAGAGAGCAGCTGCTGAAACAACAAGAAGTGCTTGAACTCACACGCTCAGTGGGAGGTAAAGGTGCTTAGTGCTTCGCCAAAATGGGCGCTCATAAAGCATCTGCATCGGTGTGAGGCAGGTGGAGCAGGCTGAGGGCAGACATCCCCAAGGAAACACGCCGCTGCTTCTTTCCAGTTCTTTCCTGAAGCCATGTGCTATTGGCTTCGGACGACCAAAAGCCCACGTTATTGATGTGCAGGCTAACAGAAGTGGCATCTTTGGGAAAGTGAAATACCTGTTATTGCTGGGTGCCTTGCGCTTGGAACATTTAGGAAGCTAGAAGTATAAAGAGGCAGGGGGTTGGTTTCTGGGTCCAGAATAAAACCCTGGTCTTTCTGAAAGCCTCAGTAAAACTCCAATTTTTAAAATTTTTCTTGGCCTCACAGTTCTCTCTTTGGGTATAACATAGAGCTTTTAGATGTGAGAGTCCTCTATTGCAGTTATTCAGTTTCTAAAGAGTATTAGCAAGAGAAAAAACTTTGAAATCGGATATCTTTTGGATTCCCCGTAACTACCCTATTCTGTAAATTAATTTGGAGGAACAGGACCACATGGTTCAAGCAGAGATACATGGTATCTGGTACCCAGGGTACAGGGAAAAGAAAAACTAATCATGTAAGAGATGAGAGCAGAGTGGTGTGTTAGGATTGCTCAAGCCAGTCCCCACTAGCTGCATGAATTTACACTGCTCCTACACAGTAATATTTTCTACCAGCTCTAGACCTCACCTCATACATTTAAATATTCTTGCCGAAACAGAAGAGGGCTCCCAAAAATACAGGATGAAATCCCAGCACCACTGAAGTCGGCAGCAAACTTCCTTTTTTCCCAAGGAGGCCAGCATAGCATCCACATGGTGCAGGCAAGGTCCACCCAAGTGCCACCTCCAGCAGCAGCAAGAATGGGATAACAGGCCTGAATCGTGGTCCTATAGATTTATAACCAGCCATCAGAGGGTCAGTATGGGAGCTTTAATGGAGAGGAGGAAAGCCGCAAGACAGGAGAAATTATCACTGAGTTAGAACAAACAGCTGCCAAGTCCACATCCATTATCGGTGGAAACGTATTCACTTTCCCTTCAGTTTTCATAGGCTTGAATGATCTGGGCAAGACAGAACCTCTGACCCAAAGAGCAAATGACAAAGCTAATTATACCTGATAATACAGATAGGCACAGAGCCAGAACTGCTCTGCTACTGGTGATTAAAATCTCTTTATGGGCCTGGCAGAGATTTGGCCACTTTTGCTTCCTTGAAAGTATTCCAAAATTTTCTTCAAGCTAGAAATACAATTCCATTGTATTTCCATCACACACACACTAAATTAAAAACTTCTGGAAGACAACCTTCAGATACAGACTCTAGCTTTACAACTTACTTTAAGAAAATAGAAGAATATATTTGGTTTTAATAGAACAAACATTCCTTTCTGCCCTCTTCTTCATTTGCAGACACAAACATACAATCCAAAATGCTTGTCCTAATCAAATTATTTTTGACAAAAACATCTCAGTGCTAAAGCAGACCTTACTAAGCCACGGCAACACTTAATATAAGTCAATTCTTCCACCTCAGTTTTGCAGCTACAAAACCTAGAGTTTATTATTTGATTTATACAGACACCACTGTTGGTAAGATGTGAAGTTAAAGGTTAAAAAAGCAGGGCTTTGTGTATTGGCCCCCCTTCTTCATAAAGAACAGTCAGTCCCATTTAAATCAAGGGGTCGTTTGTGTATTGTACAGCGAGAAGTGTGTGAGAGAGGATGTCGCAGTCTGGTCCCCACGCAGCATCGTCTGCTGCTGGTGGGGAAATGCCATAAACCTCACCTACCCAGAAATACATACCAGGACACAAAGGTTATTGTATGTGCCTCAAAAAATATATATCAGTCAGACTTTCAGCTACTCATATCCTAATCAAGATTACCAGCACTGACAAGTGGTTATTCTATCGAGTGATTTCACCAGGGTAATTTCTGCTGCTTTGGACACACCAAGTTTGCCTTTCTTCTGCTGTAATCCTATGTCGATGGCACATGATGCTACTTAATAGGAGAACCAGTGGCCAGAGGGCCTTATTAGACTGCTCATATTATAAAGGTGAACAAAACCTACTATATGATTCACAGCATGATGCCTACATTTACAGATCTCACTGTTTTGTTGTCTATTTTTTAAGTAGAGGGAAAGTGTTTACTACCTACAGATTTCAGCATACACATTTTCTGGAGCATACCAAGGACATTAAAGAAACATTATGATGGATTTTTTCTGCCTGTTATTGCAATACACTACAGACATGCTTGCAAGGCATAACTTCATTCAGATTTGGAGCTGAAAAATAGCAGTAAAGACTCCACAACAGAAAAGAACTACTGGGGGACATTCCAGACTTTAGCAAAGTGCTGCTCTTAAAGCTGATGGTTAAACATGCCACACGTATTGGATATGACAGATCCTGCTTTAAATCCAGGCTGACCAGCCACTTTTCTTTCTTTAGCACTCCTAGCGTTCAGCAATTAGACTTCAATTATAAATAGAAGTGGCATAACAGATGACTTTTTTTTTTTTTTTTTTTGAGCATAAAGAAAAGAAAAACGCGGGGGTATCATCCCAAAATTCTCAATACGTGAAAGGACACATGATTCACTCCTCTCACATGCTCTCCAGCTCCTTTTTGCAACAAAAGCCTGTCCTATCTTTGCTCCGGTTGTTAGTGCTGGGTATTTAGCAATAGCAGGTAAGCTCCATCCAGAACAGGCTGATTTGTTTTTTGTAGGTGCTTCTTCATCCCAAGCTCAGAGGAATGAAGATGTCCCAGGGCTGATCCTCCGGTATCGGGACCTTATTGCTCTCCTAAGAAGGAAGGTCTTCAAAGATGCCTCTGGGAATAAACACCCCTTTTTTTTCTGTTTAAAGGGAATTCGTGCAGCAAAAAGTTTTCTGGGGAAAGCTCTCTCGGAAGGACCCCCGCCTCAGGCGAGGCTGCCCATTAAGAATAAAGTCCTCAAGAGAAAGTCCATGAATTGCTCATTTTTACTTTTTTCTTTAAATTCTCCTTGGAATACCAGACAATAGGGGTGAGGGCCCATCTAGAAAGTAACAGCATCATAATTTACTTATTTATTGTCTTAATATGTTACTGCATTTCTAACCAGGATGCAACTGTGTCTCCACATACTGCATCCGTTGGTTATGTTTCTACCCGATTTCTCAAATATGTCTCTCTTCTCTTTGTTAAAGGAGCCAACTCTTTTCCACTGAAGTCTCCATTTAAGTTTGCTCTTTACTTAACCTTCACTGTGCCTACCTGAGCTGGTTTCATCTTCATCTGATTGCTTGGCCACTTTATTATGTTTTTTACTGCAGCTTAGGAGCCCCTTGAATTCTGCTATAGTTCATGTAATTCTCATCATGTGGTTCAGCTCCCCGTGGAATTTTTTTTCCTGCCAGCAGCAGTTATTTATTTTCTCTTTCTGCATTTTTCATTGTCGCTGAAACACCACCTCTGACAATGCTCAACCTCCTCTAATCCCTTCAGAAAAACCCTGCTGTTGGTTATTTATTTATTTATTTACTTCCAACCTACTATAAACTTAAATAGCGTTGCTATGTCCACAGAGTGCACGTTGGCACAGATGCCCAATTTGTTTCCCGTAGCTACGTGTCATGCTCTCCTGTTTTTCTGGAGAGTCAAGCAGACAAAAAATTGTTTTCTTTTTGCCTTTACTTTCTTAATCATTGGAGAAGCCCCCAACAGATACAGCATGATGAGAGAGGATTTTTACCTGTTTTCTTAGCTGATGACTCAATATACTCATTTCTCAGAGCTTACACAAAAAGGTTTTGGGCAGATTTCAAGAGTAGCGGGGAAAAACCTTTTGCTGCATCTAAATGTTGTGAGACTATTTCATGTTGATAAGAGCTCTCTTTCTCTCTCATTAACTGATTGCTTCTCCTTACTTTAATGCACACAGCTCTACCTGGGAACACAGCTATCTGGCTTTCAAACACCCATGATCAGGTGGAGATGGGGCTCCGTTTTTTCCCTTGCTTTAGTGCCATGCTAACTAGACTGTGTCAGACTTACAATTTCACATATCAGAGATCACAGAAATCTTTTTTTCTTCCGGATGTCTCCTGCTAATACTAGGTCAGGTCCTCAGAAAAGGACGCTTCAAGTGATAAAAATAGTTTGTAAGAAGGTTGCCCTGGTCTCCCTTCTTAGAGGTGGGTCAACAGAAGTTCATAAGAAGGTAGACCTGGAAGGGCTCTCCTGGCTCCTCAAGTCAAATCAGCTGCTATTACACACCTTTGCGTCATGTAATAGCCTATTCAAAAATGGAGTAAAATCCATCTTAGAACTAGCTAGGCTTTCTGCCTTTTCTACTCTTGGTGAAAGACACTGCAGACCTTCAGCCTGAATTATAAGAAGCTTAATTGCCACCCCGGTCTTATTTGTACCTATTTATACACAATGGTCCTTCTGTTATCACTGTCTTTTATCTCTCCTTCCCCTTTCAGTTTGCTCTCTTTGGAATTTAGCCCTTCATTATGTTTATTGAGAAGAATAATAAGCTCTTGGCATTTTCATTAATAGACTAATCAAACCACACTTCTCTCAAAAGAGGTATCTCCTACCGTGCTGGCTTCTCTGCTCCATGATGCTTGGGTTTAAATTAACCTCTCCAAACACAGCTGACTGGAGCTATCTGCAATACTCCAGAGAACTGCTGACCAGAGCTCCTCTTCCCTGTGCAGTGCCTGATTCTCTCCCTCAGCTAATGGAAATACCAGTTCAGTGGCTCAGCTCTTTCTTTTTCCGGTGCTTTCGTATCTGGAGCTCCCAGATTATAGCTCCATTCCTGCCACTGGTCTCCAATGCATCGGTTTTGGTTTTGGGGGGGTTTTTTGTTTGGTTGGTTTTGGTTTTTTACAATTATATAAGGTATTATATTAAAAGGGATAAAATTAACTATACCAGGATTATTTCTATTTTTCTAGGGTTAAAAGAAAGCTAAGCTTTTTTCCATTATTGTTGTTGTAAGATGTATAGAAAACAAGAACAGCATTGTTATTAAATTCTTCGACTTGATACACGAGCTATGTTGATAGTCATTTTGATAACACTTGATGTTTGCCTTGTGAAAATTTCTGCAAAACCAAGATCAATATCAAACCAATAGATCAAGATTTTTTTGCCAAGAGAAGTTCATTTTAAAAACAGGACACCTTCTATTGAAAAATAAATGTCATTCAAAACTTTCCATTCACCCTGTTCAATATACGATTGGACTTAAAATCACCTACCTGGAAGTTTATGTAAATGGCAGCATCAGTGTGCCATACGCAACTGCCAGAACAAAGGTCTATTAAAAATACTGGAAGCTGTTTTGAAAATCGATGCCAATTCTTGGAATTTCAGGCACTTAAATATGTTCAAAACCCTGATTAGATGAATGGAAATTTCACTCGGAAGGGCTGAGCATTCAGATATGCAATGGCTACATCTCGTCAGGAATCTAGGCCAAATTGCTTTTGAAAATCTCAGTAGGGTGCTTATTTGCATTTTTGGCATCAGAATACTTTTGAAAATATGGTGGTAAGGCTGCCATCCATCAAACACTTCAGCAGGTGCTGAGATTTTATGCAAGCACTTGGCTGAGTTTCCGTATTCACATGCTTAAAATTTACCATGTGCCTAGCTGCCTGGAGGATCAGAGACCACCTCTGCAGGTTTTAGTCCCTCAAGGTTATATATTTGAAAACTATGGATTTGCCTAGTCTGCAAACAAACCATAAGCTGACACACTGCACGGTTTCCTCAACCTCTTCACTGAAACTTTAAAAGCAATCCATAAAAGTCGGATAATATTTAACAGAGGGGATTATGGAAAAGCCATTTCTAAATGAGAAAATTGCATTCATGTTTGTTATCTGCTGTCTGCCCTTCACATATATTATGACTACATATTTATTTTTCTAGTACTACTAGAGAGATTGTGGAAAGAAAGTCTTTTTTTTTTTTCCCTCTATAAAGACTGTCAACAGCATTATCTTAAAGGTGCTGGATGCCATATTGCTTATAGTATTACCAGCATAAATATATATATATATGATGATAAGCCTCAAGGCATAGGACTCAAAGGATAAGTGTGTTTTCTGCGACTCTCTAACCTACTTGCTTTTGCTGAGAAAACAGGACAATCTCTGTGCATGTTCACGTGGGATAGAGAAGTTGCATTACGCCAGCCTCCTCGGCCGTTTGCAGAGAGTCGAGGAACGGTCCCAAGTGATTAATCAAGCGATGGCTGAGCTAGCAACCATTCCCTACCTGCAGGACATTAGTCAGCAGGATGCCGAACTGGTAAGTATTTATTTTTAACACCTGTTTTGGCCTTTAGAGGCAGGGAGCCAGGGAGGGAAGGGTTGGGGCAGAGCACCGCGCTGCAATTTGCTCTGGAAGTCATTTTGCGAAAGTGCAGACCTGAAGTAGTTTTAAAATCCGACTGCAGTGCCTTGTCAGAGGAGGTGCTAATCACCTGCGAGGATGACTTTTATAGAACCAGCATGACTCATCTGTAGGCATATTTTTAAAACCTCTTCTTTTCCCCCAAACCTCCCCAAATCAGTCTGGGAAAATGATTGCAATTATTCAGATCGTGCTACTTTAAGATATCTAACATCAGAAGCCACCTGCAGCAACACAGGCCGAATCTAGTTAAAGCTGAGGAGAGGGGAGAAAGGAGAGAAAAGATTTTCTTTCCTGGCTCCATCTACAACTTGCTCTCTGGCTCTGAATAAACCCAACTACCCGCTATGCTTTTGTTTTCCCTTTGTAAAAGGAGGGCAGTGATGATAGCAGGGCTGTTGCAAGACTAGAGTCATTAATGGCTTGATAGTATATCGATAACTGCAATCAGAAAGTACCGTATAGTTATTCTTCCGCGAGGCTGTTGGGTTTTCTGATGGGAGAGGGAGGGAGCTCACATACATGCAAATTTTAAGCATTTCATTCTAGAAGAAAGAAAAAAAAAAGTTCCTCCATAGTCCCTGCATTTAAATGCAGTCCAATTTTGATGATCCAACTTCGGCTCACTAAAAACTCTTGGTTTTCCCAAAGCCGGTCCCTTGACATTTGTTTGCAGTCCTGCAAAGCTCCTAAGCTCTATAGAATTAAAGCTTCACAGCAGCTTGCTTTAGGGAAGAAGAGCAGCGGCCTGCAACTGCAGGAGGTGGTTGCCAGACTTTGAAGTCTGGGCTCGAGATAAGGGGAAACGACATTGCAAAGAAACTGTGTTATTAAAAGACATTCTCCTTTTGATGCAAGTTTTCTAGTATGAAACTTCAGCAGGCCCACATTTCAAGGCTGACTAAAGGGTCTGGAGTTATTGCTACATATTTCAGTGATAGGTTTTTCTCCAGGGTACAATAATTTCGGTACCTCACAGGTTAGGCACGGGCTATTACACTGTTGCCTGTATCTTGTCATGTAGTAATCATAAGCCTGACCTCCCTGGAAAGCTTTTTGGGGGAGGCTCTAGGCCACCCGCGACAAAGGTCTTCAGTCTCTTAGGGGTCGGAATGGGCAGAACGAGGGTCCGTGCTGGGAGATTTAAGTGACAGATTGTAAATCTTTCAACGAAACACATATGCTTTGTTTACTGAGCCCAAGGTAAAAATGTTTTTTAAAAGAATAAAGGCAGAAAATTTCTAGTAGCTATCCTGTCCAGAGCATTAAAATGTATTAATTCAACATTCATTTATTTTTCTTTGTCCTGTCATCCTGCTGTAAAATATATCTTGTAGTCTGTGTGTGCAAATGGAGGCTCGGGTGCTTTGTAGCTAGAATATTTTAGTATACTTCAGGCACCACAGTGTTAAAGCACAAGACTTGCAAGCAAGAACAGGGAGTGATTAATGGGCTTTACCTTTCCTGGCGGCATCAGCCTGCATGGCACAGGCTCTTCTTATGCCAGTAGGGACCATTTCCCTACCACATCGCAACTGCATCAAGCACAGAACATTGCTGCCCATCGTTGGGTCTGCTCATCCAAACCATCCAGGGACCGAGCAAAAGATCCTCATTTTCTCAGCCCACCTGTCATCCTCCTCATTTCACCAGGGTCCAGGCAGGATGAAACATTTGCAGGACTGGGCTGCACTGGTGTGATTCAGCAGCCCTCAATGGATGCTAGAGAGGCAACCCCCCACCACGTCCATGGGGTCAGAATCATAGCACCCATGCTGACTCCATGTGCTTCTCACTCTTCAGCAACATTTCTAAGAGATATCTAAATTTTTCCATGAAGAAAACTGAGCTGGCCAAATCCTAACCTCACTTGTACTAATAAAAATTTAAAGTAATTCCCCTGAGGTCATTCTGACTTTACATTGGTAAAACTGAGATAAGGCTTTATGACCAAGCAAGGCAGTTAAATTGTGTGAGTTAGAAAATGCTAAAGATGCCAAATGTTTATTATCACATACAGTATAAGCTGTATAAAGTCTAAAACACACTGAATTTATAATAGTGCAATTTGCACTGATACAGCAAGGTTCCCAAGGGCATTTCAATTATAAACTCTTCTGTGTAAATGTCTTCTTGTAACTAAATAAATAGAGTCCTAATCTATGGCACAGAGAACCTCAACTGAGGCCTTTTTAGATCAGTATTTATATTCATCGACCCTGGGAAAATAAAGATTTCAGTTAGCTTGAATAGTTGAATAAAAGTGGGGAAACACTCTGAAGAAAATCTTTCCAAGGTTTATGATTTCAATGTCACCGTATTTGTACATCATAAATCAAGATGAAAGCTTGTTAAAAAAGCAGAAATCTATTTCAATTTAAAATCAAGATAAAAAAAAAGATATTTTAAAAAATGCAACATTTTTCCTTGGAGGGGATTCTCCAAAAAACACCAGCTTTGGGAGAATTACTGTGGTTTGCCAACTGCCCGCTCTTGTAGCATGAGCATTTTCTCTGCCAATAGAGCTGGTGAAAACCTTTGGGTGATAAAAATCAAAACCAGAGCACACGCTGGGCACTTTTCACTGGCATCTATCAATATCAGTGAAACTTTAATTGGAAAGGTTTCTTGTTTTAACTTCTTGCCCAAAGCAGCGAGGTCCCCAGCTTGGCTGGGCTGTCAGAGCAGCCCCTTGGGGGTGACAGACCGATGTCCCGGTCCCTGCCCCGGTGGGTGCTCTTCGACCAGTTCTTCAAAGAGAATCACTCCCAAGAAAAGAACGGAGAGATCCTCCCCTTCCCCTGACCGGATCCTCCTCTGCCTGTTTGACACAGGATCCGTGCTTTGCCCATTCTGCCCTTAATACCCTTAATCTCTGGGCTGTGACTATTCTGGATTCATAGAAGGAGATTATCTGTCATAAAAGTATTGTGACGGAAAATTTCTGACAGGTTCTTGATTATTTTCGCATTAAAGTCAGAGGCAGAATTTTGCAGTTTTGTTTCTCATGAATACTGATACATGACTTTTTAAAAAAAAAAGTTTTCATCAACTGTTTGGACCAATAAGATTCAACTTAATGGCTGCACAAGCACAGAGAAACCGGGCTGGAACCAACCATAGCAAATTTATTTAGAGATTTAAAAGAAGATTCCTGCATCCTTTATCCAGTGTTCGGACACAGACAAAGAATTTTAACTCCGAAAACCTGAATGTGAAGGGAAACTTGAGGGAATACGGATCTGCTCCTTGAATCTCAAGGCAGCATTTCTATATCTTGCGCAGATGAGCCTGAGCACTGGTGGTTTACATTTCATCACCTTATGTACTCATATTAGACTGCTGCCCGTCTGGGTACAGAAAGAAGAGACAACTTCTCTATGAATGCTTACGTTTATACTGTCCAGTCACTTGTAATGAGTAACAAATTTGGGAAGAGACACCAAAAACTATTATTTGGGTTCACTTTAACCAACTAAAGGCTTTGGAATAGACCTGATAGAGCACAGCAATATCACAGGTATTAAGTACAAGTTTCTCCCAGTTTGTTCCTAAACACTGATGCTAAAGGCTGCTCACGGGAGGACACCCTGGATTCAACCCTTGTCTCGCTGTTACTGAATTAAGAGCAACTGAAACATTTTCAAGTGTTTGGGAAGGGTGCAGGGTGAGGCAATGCTATGACTAACCTGGAAGGGTACTGGAGTGAGGCAATAACCACAACTAACCTGAATTTTAGCCTTCCCTCTAACACTAAGAACTGATTAGCAAGTATTTTCCTATAGCTTCTTTTTATAGTTTACACTAGAAATTGTCAGTCTTGTTTTTATGCTGTTATGCTGAATGATGGGGAGAAGGGAGGGTTCGCCAAAGAAAAAGGCTAGTAAAAGCAGGGAAAATGAGCTAGATACTTCCAGCTACAGTAAAAGCATCTCAGCTTTAGTGCTGTCCTCTTGTGAGGTTTTTCATGCTGCTTTAAATTATGACACATTAGCCTTGGGAGAAAATACTAAAAAGTATTCGTGTATGATACAGAATATCCCAGACAGCTAAAGAATGAAATATGGAGCCTTTATTCTTTACAACCCAAGTCTTCCTTTACTAAGTAAAAACATTTACTGCATTAAAACATATAGGCTTAAATACAAATTTTCCAGAGCATTTTTTCCCATTGTTAAGTATTTTATATCCACAATAATACAGTGTAATGGCTGAAGCAAAGATGAGGTGGCAGTGCTCATTGTGTGAAAGATGAGTAATAAAATCATCAGCGTACAAATGATTTTTTAATTAGGTTTTAATCTGTGTATTTAGAGAAGTTATTTCTGTGTGAATTCCACACTGATAATTTTTATCTTGGTGCCACAGCTGCAGTCGCTAATGGCAGATGCCATGGACACCCTTGAAGGAAGAAGTGATAAAGGACGTGTGTGGAATAAAATTCAGAAGGTAAAAACCTGCAGCAAAGGGCAGGAGAGTATATTGTTCCTTGGGGAGTAAATGTCCACCTGAGTCATATCTGTTCAAAAGATAGAAGAAGAAAGTAGGTGCCGTTTGAAACCTGACTGCATGCTTTGAAGTCTGTTAGTGCTCGGGCACTAACCACAAATACATATTTATTATTTGCTTTAGCCCCTATGGTTGATCTTTGCCCATGTTAATAGTCTCATGTGGTTATCTAACGAAAGAAAAAAAAAAAAACCAAAAACCAACAACAACAAAAAAACCCAAACCTGAATAGCTTATTTTTGGCTGATAATTATACTTCTCTTCCATCTTTGTCATATGGGGTACTGTGCTAATTGGATGTTGGGGGGAGTTGTTAGGGAATAAAATTCAGCCTAACAAATTAGGTCCCTTAGTGGAGCTCAAATGAGCTTTGGTGATGCGAGAGGTAAAAGACATGTAAATGCCTTTCTGGAGTCTGTGCACAGCAACCGGTCAATTTAATTCTTAAAGGATTTGCAAAATGCAGGGAGTCTTGTGTTGGCTCTCTGTACAGATGAATCTGACCCAACGTAATGAATAATAGGTCAGGCTGGGATGTAATAGGAGTGTCTTAGATTTTTACAAAGTCTTTCAAACCAGAGCAAATCACAGCTCTGGGCATTCAACCCCATCGACATTCAGCCACTTCTGAGGAAAAGGAAGCAACGCATCACCAGGAAGGGAAAACGTTACTAATGGTTCGAAGCATTGGTCTTATCCTGTGTCTTATGGCTCCGTCAGATGCCAGACGGACGCACGCTCGCTCTGGGTTGTGGCTGCGGTGGGAGGCTGGAGAACAGAGGGTTTGAATTTCTGCACTGGCGGGACTTGAAATTGTCCCTCTTTGGGATTTAGGGTTTACAGAGAGATCCCAGGGAAGATACTGAAAACCCAAACCCTGACTGCACGGGGTCAGCGTAACAAGGATAAGCAAATAAGACAGAGATGTCTGAAAGAAATCACAGGGGTGGACAGTCAAGGTATTTTCAGAGTCGATATTTCCAAGTGATTTGAATGAAAATTTGAGAAGGCTTCTCCTCTGAGAGAAAGTCTGAGTAGGTGTATTGCCTCGGTTAGCTGTCAGATCAGTGGTTCTTAATAAAGTTTTCCAAGTACAGAATGTTTTCAGAAAGTAACCAAAACCTAAATACCCAAAATTATAGACAGGCTGGGTTTCATCTCTTTCAAACGCTCGTGAGGCAAAACAAAGGATAAATATTCATACTGCTTTTACATAGCGCCAGGATAGTCTGTAAATCTCACACCTGCCTACAGATCGTATGAGAATCTTTTGCAATACAAACACTACGTATGATATGAATTATATATTTTTATACAATTACTTACATGTTTCCTGCCATATATATAGTAAACATGGATAACTAGATCAATGCGAAGAGTCAATGATATATTTACAAATAGCCTATCCCCTGTACTTCTCTAGCACTTATCCTTCCCATTTTCAGAAAATAGACGTAAATATCAAAGACAGTTTTCCAAAGTTTTTTCCAAAAGTCAGGATTTTAATCCACAGTTAGGTGTTTGAATAACTAGCCTGATTTTCACAGCTCTGAACGACGCAGTTCAGAGGCTGCTGAGAAAGGATCACGGCTGAAAGTTAGATCAAGTACACAGATATCTAAATATTTATTAAAGGCTCATTAAAAGTTTGTTGGTGGTACCAAAAAGATTCCCACATATTTCAACACACAGTGGCTAATATTTCACTGTAAATTCAGTAAAACAAATTAATTTCTTTCGGTGTATTCATATGTATGTATGTACACCCTTTATATTTCTCTGGATACTTTTACTTTCAGTATAATCTTAGAGGAAATCAAGCTAACATTTAAAAATGGATTGGTATCCCATATTATGCCACATGAATCTGTGCATAATTCAATATTCAGGAATAAAATTTACTGAATCCATGAAAATCTGGTGCTTCAAAATTTGTTTGCATTCTGAACGTAGTTTTGCATTTCATTTTTGACGACTCAAATCAACTATTTGATTTGACGCATCTTGTTCCAAGTGGAACTCACTGTTTGTTTCATAGCAGAAATATATTTTTCTATATTATATCAGAACAAAGAAATGAAAAGCATCATCAAATATTTCTTTTCTACTTTATTTTTTTCCAAAATTTAATTTCAGCGTATTCATCATGTTCTTAGGAAAAAATTCTCTTTAAATAGAGGAGACAGGAAAACACTCAGGGAGCTTGGGGATTTTTTTGTTGGATCGTTTGTTGGTTTGTGGTTTGTTTGTTTTTTTTTTAAATCAGCTCTAATTAAGAACGTTGCGCTAGGTTAAAGAACTCTAACACGTTACTAAGAAGGAGGACTAAATCTGGTGATTAAAAATTGATGTGGTGTGGATTACTGCATGTCACTTGTGCTAGAACCATTCTGAGAAGTTCAGTATTTCTCACTTTGCTCATCACAAGCCTACAAAGAACCTTCACACAGACCTAGCGACAAGGTAGTTATTTGTATTTTTGCTATTGAATTAATTTACATATATTGGAAAGCGAAAAAGAACATAAAGGAGTTTATACAACCAGCTATAAACGCAACACTCTGGAAAGCTGACAGCTACGCTACCACCAATGAAGTTTGGCTTTTGCAATAGAAACAGCTGTTGCACCTAATGAAAGCACTCAAAATTTTTCTCTAATGCAGCAGAATTATAGCAGTGCCTATTTTCCAAATGGTTAAAGGGTCTGTCAGAATTGCCATTACAAACCACTGTTTTCAGAGTTTTATATTCTAGAGTCAGTCATAAAAAATTAATTCAGGCTGAAATCTGACATAGAAGGGCACAAAGCCTGACACCCAAACACTTTTCCTTTTGTCACGGTGGAGGGCTTATCAAATCAGTTTGAAATTAATCTGGGCAATTTTGAATTTACAGGACTGTCAAAGTAGTAATATATGTGTAGCTTCAAGTGTTTTGGGTGCTGCGCTTCCCATCCAATTCACTGACAAGTTTATGTTTTTAGGTGAACTAATTTATCAAATGGGCTAATTATTTTTGGAAGCTTTAAATACAAAGAAATGAAAAATGACCTCATAATTAGCTGGAGAAAAGAGAACATCACTGCACAGAAGATGCCTTTCTTGGTATTACCAGGTTATGGACTTTCCAGGCACAAGGAGAGCTGACCCAGGAGAGCCTGGATTACTTTGGGAGATTAAGAAACATCCTCCTACAGAGGCTTTACCCACGTACTAGACATCCCTGAAGAATGCCTCAGAGGCAGGAAAAATGGGCTGGGTCAGTCTCCCAAAATCCTTATTCTCCAGGACTTTACCGACACTTTTCCTTGCAGTCCCCTGGATAAAATGTGAGCTTTGTATTAGCGATTTGGGGAAACAGACACCTGTGTCTAAGACCTTTCAAGCAGTTAACGGCGAGACGGAG